TAAAAGAGAAAGCATGTCATTGTGCAAAGACAGGTGGACGTAGGAAGATTGGACCAAATATAAAATTTACCAAAAAAAAGGTAAAATTAGAAGATAAGAGAAAGATAGTTGTAAATATAAAAAGAGAATAAGAGTCTCTTTTATATTTTGAGAAAAAAAATAAAGTATGTGATGGTCGTTTGAAAGTCCGATTCGAGAATTAATATGAGGAAATGGCAGGTGAAATGAACAGGTGTTTTACACCATGTTTCACTGTAGAGGATACAAGAAATATTCCTAAGGCAGTGATACATCATAAAATGGAAAGGAAGGAGGAACGCAGGAAAATCATGAGCACCATACAGACATATTGTACTGAGTCAATTGTTGGAGCTATAAGGCTAACAAGTACCCAGATCCTCACAGACTTCATTCTAGGGTGTTAAAAGAAGTGGACGGTGAGATTGTTGATGAAATGATTTTAATTTTCCAAAGTTTCCTTAATATGAGACATTAGACTGGAACATAGTGAATATAACTCCTTTATCCAAAAAAGGAGGGAGTCAGAAAGGAGGAAGCCACTGGGGTTCCTCAGTTAGCAGTGTTGGGACTGCAACTATTTACAATATATGTTAATAACTTGGAGGGAAGAAGTGAATGTACTGTAGCCAGATTTACAGGTGACACAAAAATAGGTGGAAAGGCAAGTTGTGACATGAATACAAACAGTTTGTAAAGGGATACTTATAGGTTGGGTAAAAATAGGCAAAAATTTGGCAAATGGTGTAATAGTATGTGAAAATGTAATGTTGTTCATTTTGGGGGTAACGTGCTGTGAATAAAGGAGAATCAGTGAATGTGTTATGTTTCGAGGCCTTTGATATGGTGCCACAACGAAGGTTGTTGTAGAGAATACAAATTCATGGTGTAGTGGGTAGTTTATTGCCATGGGTAGAAGATCGGCTGGCCAACAGTATAAATAGGTCTCTTCTAGGTGAAAAGATGCTGGACTAGTGCTGGAACCTCAACTTTCTATAATTTATATACATGACTTAAATGAAGGGATGGAAGGTATGGTTGCTTTTACTTTATTGGTCAGGGAATTTACAACAAGGGTCAGAATGTTATGTTTCTGAAGAAGGGTCCCGACCCGAAACGTCAGCCTTCCTGCTCCTCTGATACTGCCTGGCCTGTTGTGTTCCTCCAGCTCCACACTGTGTTATCTCAGACTCCAGCATTGGCAGTTCTTACTATCTCTCAGAATGTTATGTTGCAGCTTTATAAGACTGGTTAGGCCACACTTAGAATATTGCATTCAGTTCCGGTTGCCACATTACAGGAAGGATGTGGAGGCTTTGGAGAGGGTGCAGAAGAGGTTTACTAGGTTGCTGTCTGGATTAGAGGGTACGAGCTGTAAGGAGAGGCTAAAAAAACTTTGGTTGTTTTCTCTGGAGCGGTGGAGGCTGAGGACTGACTTGATAGAAGTCTATAAAATTATGAGATGCATAGATTGGGCTGATGGTCAGAATCTTTTTCCCAGAGTTGAAATGTCTAATAATAGGGGACATGCATTTAAGATCAGAGGAGGAAAGTTCAAAGGAGATGTGAGAGGCAGGTTTTTTATACAGAGAGTGGTAGGAGTCTGGAACGTGCTGCCAGTTGTGGTGATGGAGGCAGATATGGCCAGGGCGTTTAAGGGACATTAGATAAGCAAATGAATATGCAAGGAATGGAGGGATATGGACCGAGAGCAGGCAGAAGAGATTAGTTTAATTTGGCATCATGTTCGGCACAATAACTCAGTTGAAGAGACTGTTCTGTGCTGTACTGTTCTATGTTCTATCATCAAATTTGCTGGTGATGTAAAAATAGGTAGGAAGGTAGGTTATGAAGAGGATGCAAGGAGGTTACAGAAAAATAGTGATAGTTTAAGTGATTGGGCCAAGATGTTGCCTATGGGATATAATGTGGAAAAAAACATGAAGTGGTCCATTTTGGCAGGAAGAATAGAAACAAAGCATTTAATCTAAATGGTGAGAGATTGCAGACCACTGAGATGCAGGGGAATCTGGGTGTCCTTATGCATGAATTGCAAAAGGTTAATATGCACGTATAGCAAGTAATTAGGAAAACTAATAAAATGTTATCATTTATCATCAGGGGAGCTGAATACAAAATTCAGCAGGTTATGCTTCAGTTATACAAGGCAGAGGTGAGACCACATTTAGAGTATCCTCTGTAGCATTGGTCACCTTATTTAAGGAAGAATGTAAATGCATTGGAAGCAGTTCAGGGAAGGTTTGCTAGTATAATTCCTGGAATGTGTAGCTTGTCTTTTGAAGAAAGCTTGGGCAGGCTAGGCCTATATGCACTGAAGTATCAAACAGCAAAAGATGACTTGATTGAAATATACAACCTCTTGAATGGTTTTAATGGGGTAGGTGCGGAGAAGATATTTCCTCTTATGGGAGACAACAGAACTATGGATCACTCTAAAAATCAGGGGTTGCCCATTTAAAACAAAGATTAGGTGAATTTTCTTTATTAAGCAAGGGGTTAAAGGTTATCTGGGGTAGGCAGGAATGTGGATTTTAGGTTGCAATCAGATCAGCCATGCTCTTATTGCATGGCAGAGCAAGCTAAAGGGAATGATTTGTACGTTCAGCTGGATCGATATGTAAAGGGTCCTTGCAAACTAGAACTGATTGTCAAAAGATGGTTGCATTACATTCAATGCTGCCAGCTGGATCTCAGCTTTTGCTTTCTACTTTACTGTAGTTAATAAAATCATCCTCTCTATTAAGAAATATTTTATGCACTTTCATATTTAATTCACAGCCTGAATGAATGAACTCCTTTCCTAATGTAAATTCTAAATTATAATCTAGAATAATCACACTGAAAATAATGGAACAAAATTGGTCATACATTGACTATAATTCCTATTGTTATTAATTAGTCAAAATCTCATTACCACTAGAACCAGGAAAACTAAGTTGTCAGCATTTCTTAAAGGCAAATATTAGAACACTTCCCACACAAGGATTATTTGAGTTGATATTAGATCTGTGAATACAGCAAGTCACTTCAGTCAATGTACTTATAGCTTTTGAATGTCATGTAGTCCTGACAATCAGCTTAGCTATTAGTCTATGCTAAAATGAATTGAATGCAGCTGTAATTCAGTACAATTTATAACACTGCCTTCAGATGGCACAAATCAGTACAGCCCTCTGCTGCTGCAATACATAAAAATTCCACCACCGAAAAAGCTACACTTTGGATTTGCTATGATTTCCACTGAAAAGGAATTCATGGACTTTTACAATGCTACATGAAGAAGATAGAATAATTCCTACATTATTTTTCAGACCTAATTAATTTGATTTTAAGTTTACAAAATATTCTAACAAAGCTTTCTTTAACCTTTCAAGGATTGGAATGAAATCCTACGTATCATTGAATAGTAAGTTTGATATTAGGATTTTTTTTACCTTCTATGGTATAAATAATATATTTGGACATTATGATAGTTCAGTTGGGAAAAGCAGGGTGCAGCTGAACCTTATAGCTTAGGATGTCTGAGTTTTGGCTCCTAGTCTCTGCTGATCAGAACTAGGACAGCTATAGGAGCACTCCAATTGATCAAAGGAGAGCAAATGAGTCAGTCAAGTTTCTTGCTACCTAGGGCAATAGAGACCAAAAGTAAAAGATAGACTGCACAACTTGTGTGTACAGGATTGGGATGGGCTCCGAATTCTGCCACTGCTTGCAATAGGCTGGATTCTCATATAAAGCATGGCCACTCAGTTATTCTACAGGGCATTCAGTGGAACTCTCTTCAACTGGAGCCTGATGTATTCAGGAGAAGGAGGACACTGGCAAAAAAAAATGCTTTCAAACAAACTTACGGTTCAGTTAAACCTCATCTCAACAGAATTTCAATTTTGAAATAATCTGTAATGGATGATTTCTTTTTTGCAGAAAGCTTCAGAATGTCTCCAGCTTCCCAAGTCTTAAACTTACAAAGAATGAAAAATGTGTTTACTGAAAAAGCAATGTTCCAAATACCAAATGAATCTTTTTTTTCTAAATTTGTTATGTTAAAAATAGTCAATCCCATTAGTGACAACATCTGTCTCGCGGAAGACAATAGACCAATGATTTTATACAATAGAACAACTGCTGAACTCTATTGCTATGTCAATTCTATTACTGACTAATATCATGGAAAACGCCAACATGTGTCTACTAGCATTACGGTTTTCATTAAAAAGAATGCCTAGAGATGGTTACTATCAATTCATTCATCTTTTTGTTTTGCTTCGAATTGAAGTCTAAAAGGAGTTCATGTTATTGCGGAAGCTTTGGTTCATGAACAGGCATTTTACATTTCTGTAAGTTTCTAACTCTAAAGACGAAAAATGATGATTTTAAAGGACAACTTTCAATAATAATGCAAACCAAACAAAACCCTCCTTTCCCATAGCCATAGTTTTTAATATTAAAAACCGCAGCAGCATGATTGCAGCAAACAGTACAAGAGTTTGTTACTATTGCTGGGAGTTAGGCTTGTGATAGCTGACTTCTTCCTCTTCGTGCCCTCAAATAACCGAAGGAAACGAAATCTTTCCCGTTACTTCCTCCAAGCCCTTCCAAAAGATACATCCTTTGTGAAATTCTTGGATGTTTATCCTGTAGAGGTAGATATACAAACTTCGGTTGATAGGCAGTGAAATTCCCCTTGAATCAGACACTTCCATCAGATTCGGAATTAACGGAGCCCGTCTGAGTTCACAACGAGGTTGGATTTTTATCACGGATTTCTCAGGGTCTGCAAGCGCTCCTCATAAACCAATCTGCAGCGGCGTTTAAAAAATAAACTGGCGAACATGCTTTGCGTGTGTGTACGCGCAATTTTATTTTACGTGTAAAAGACAACTTACAGGTTATTGTCAAACAAAACTAGAGAGGATTTCAGCAGTGAAACAGTTAAACTTGATTGAATATAGTCTTCTTACCTTCGTTGTGCACATTTCCAATCCCTTCTCCAGTGCCTTTTCACACGAGGTTTGTAAATCCTGGTCCGGAGAGTGAAGGGAGCACAGTCCTGTGGCCGGGTCCACATAACAGTCGGATTTTTTCCATGTGTTTATGTGTCTGCTCTTACACAGACCAAGTCACGTTAACGTCGGTGGGGAGGGAGTTAGCCACAAATCCCTGCCGCATCAGCTGCCCCCCTCCCCTTGGAAGAGCAAGCGCTAATAAATACTCGACAGCCGGAGAGAGAGAGAGACAGAACATCTCCTGAGAGCCGAGAGAGCAGTGTTCACCATCTGCATCTGTTTGTAGCACGGGTTACCGGCTTTGTTCCGGGGCTTCTCACTGTGCCATGTAAATCAGAAACAAGTCAGCAGCTTGTTAGTGATGCCCATCTGTTAACTTAGCCGTTTGTCTGCTGATCTCTTTAAGCACAGACACTGCAGAGCGCAGTCGGATCAGCTCAACCAAAACGTGTAATGCAATTCTTCAGCCTAGGGAATTATCTGGTATAGGGAGGGATTGTTATATAGAGATGTAGTAATAAGCCTTCACAATACTATAGCCCAGCATTAAACTCCAGACATCCTGACCTCAGCTCTGTTAGAAAGCTGTAATTTTGATTTTGCTTCCTCCACACACTGAAACTATCTATAAACCACATAACGAAATCTCCCTGGATAGCTCATAGTCTCATAATAATTCTCGCCAGAAAGAAAAGTTAACATAAAAATAAACACATCCACGTTTAGCAAGCCAAAGAAAAGCTGCACAGCAGCATTGAACAGATTTGCAATCACTTTGCAAACACAATGCACTTGTTCAGAAAATGTTCCAAGCATCAGCCCAGTGATTACAGACTAACTTCATTGATGGGAGTTAGTAAGAACTGCCAATGCTGGAGTATGAGATAACGCAGTGTGGAGCTGGAAGAACACAACAGGCCAGGCAGCATCAGAGGAGCAGGAAAGCTGACGTTTCCGGTCAGGACCCTTCTTCAGA